GGTGTTTACTTGACGTTACATGTGTTTACTTGACGTTACATGTGTTTACTTGACGTTACATGTGTTTACTTGTTGTTACAGATGTTTACTTGACGTTACATGTGTAACTTGACGTTACATGTGTTTACTTGACGTTACATTTGTTTACTTGACGTTACAGATGTTTACTTGATGTTACTGGTGTTTACTTGACGTTACATGTGTTTACTTGACGTTACATGTGTTTACTTGACGTTACATGTGTTTACTTGTTGTTACAGGTGTAACTTGACGTTACAGATGTTTACTTGACGCTACAGATGTTTACTTGACGTTACAGGTGTAACTTGACGTTACAGATGTTTACTTGATGTTACTGGTGTTTACTTGACGTTACATGTGTAACTTGACGTTACATGTGTAACTTGACGTTACATGTGTAACTTGACGTTACAGATGTTTACTTGATGTTACAAGTGTTTACTTGACGTTACATGTGTTGACTTGACGTTACATGTGTTGACTTGACGTTACATGTGTTTACTTGTTGTTACATGTGTTGACTTGTTGTTACAGATGTTTACTTGACATGTTTACTTGATGTTACAAGTGTTTACTTGACGTTACATGTGTTTAATTGATGTTACAGGTGTTTACGTTTATGATGATGTACAGAACTCACTGTCAGAGAATTCTGGACACGGTCATCAGAGCAAACTTTGACGAGGTCAGTTGCATTGTGTAACATACAGAAAGCAAACTGAAATCATGATTTGCTAAGCAGAGTACATAGTAAATACAATCTGCACATAGTGCATACAATCTGTTCATAGTAAATACAATATGTACATAGTACATACAATCTGTACATAGTAAATACAATCTGTACATAAAACATACAATCTGTACATAGTACATAGTATAATTTGTATCTAGTTAATACAATATATTCATATTATTTTCACATGATACAACAGCATTTAAAGTGTAACATCACTGTGGGCGAAAGATACACAGACATATTTTAATGTAATTTAATTTGATAAGACTCCATTTCTAATTTCATTTGCTTTATAAATATGTTTGATATATATAAAATATATTGTTTTAATTACTATTTAGGTGCAGAGTTTCTTGTTACACTTCTGGCAGGGTATGCCCGCACACATTGTCCCTATATTAGACTACAGAACTATCGTCCTCCTTGTCGGCGTGTGTGATTCTATCCTCTACAAAGCCATCGCTAACGTGCTGATGCCAACTGTGTTACAGGCTCTACCAGAAAGGTGAGGGACATCAGATAGGTGTACACAAGTTTGTTCGTGATGTAGATAATTCTGTTTTTTTTGGGTCAAATAAGCATAATCTTAAAACTAACTTTTCCAAGAATCACCGTGAGAATGTTAAGAAAAAAATATCATTTCACATACATTAAAGTTGTATTGCTGTTGTGTGTAGAGTGTTAACCACGTTTATACGGCTATAAACGTTCAGGTTAATTAGGGATAGTTTGTTTCGTAAGCACATTGTTTGTTTTAGTTTGGATTTCCAGCCTTTTATGACAATGCTTCCTTATGGCGATGGTTATTAATGCCTCATCTTGGTAACGAATATATCGCTAGACTGCTATCAATTAAAAACTATTATCGAAGTTTGCTGAAGAGAAATATACCAATTCATCTGTTGCAAGATCGTTCAATTTCGATAGAAGTAAACTGAAAGCCCAGCAATTTGAATTCAACATCCGCAACTAAAAATAGAGCATATTGTGTCCATTTGTGTTCATTTAGCTGTAGGGGTCAGAAGGTGCCATATATTCATGAAATACACGCAGGTATTGAAAGAGCGACCTTTAAAATCATAGAAATAGCAGACGAATAGAGCAGGCTTCTGTGTCACAAGCCAACCATGGGTTTAGTTTAAACTTTATTTTATTGATGTTAAATTACAATAGTACATGGTTATAAATACAGAAAAGGATCCAGAAACAAGTACATAGTACTTGTGTAAATCCGTCTCCTTATAGACATAACAGCAGCTATGGATCAGTACTGACAAAAAAAATAAAATATTATAATTCATATAAATAAATATAACTATATATAAAGTTAACATGTGCAGGGAAAAGAAAGAGAAAGGGTGCAAGGATTTATAGTGGGATTGGGATGATGTTTGATGGGGAAACGATGGGCATCAAAACTGCATTGAGAGAACAAACGCTGATTGCATGAATACAAACGATATTTGACAAAAGAACGCTGTGTCTGTACATGTTGTGAAAAGTGTATGTAGTATGTTATGAAAACAAATTAAAACTACAAATGCATGGGTTTAAACTTCCGTTACTAAAATGCACCTTTTTACTATATTACTCTCAATCCATTTTATAAGGGTGATGAGTTGTTGTGTTTAGCATGTATCAGAGACACTTTTGATAGTAAAATGTTTGTAATAGTTGGAAGTATATCGTTAATAACCCCCAAAATATATCGAAACTGCAGTGTTCTCATACAGATCAGTATTTCATTTTATGTCGTTAAGTAGCAACAAAACAGAAATTCGGCGTTTAAAGAAAATAGTTTAAATAAACGGGTTTTTAAGCTAAAATATTTGTTTTCATTGTAAGTGCCATACACAAGTGCCATTGAAATTGAAATGTTCGTTTTGATCTAGGCCAATATCTTTTCAAAACTATAATAAAACGTTATGTTAGTCACGTAATAATATTGCGGATTCGTTTCATGGCAAACATAAATATCAAATATGTTAAACGTCATGCTTTTTAATATGTTTTACATAATTCCAATAATCCGATAAGCTGTATTTAAATCACGCCAGTGTATCTAATATTACGTTTCCAATCGGACTGGAAAATACATGTGTATTACCCGACCTCATGGTTTTTCTCTAAGTACTCCGGTTTTCTCCCACGTTAGCACCCATCTGCGCGCTTCCAAACGGGCCATCACGAGGGATTTAGTTATGAGTTGGAAAAACTTGTTTCTTAATTGAAGTCAAGTTTAATAAAGCTTATCTTTTTTTATCTTCATTATTATCTAAATGTTCCCATAATTTAGAATTCGGAATTACGGAGAAGTAGTTGTAGACCTTTCTTTATAACCTGGTTTAGCTACACGTGTTGTCTCTAATTTCCCAGCATTGTTCGGGTATACACGTAGTTGTATACCGTAATCTGTAGTAATAAGTATATTTCGCACCATTGAGATAGTTGACGATATATTAAACGATCTGAATAATTCTTAAAACATTTAATTCCATTCGTCGTCTCGGGTACATAAACAATATCATAAAATGAATTTTTCGAAATGTGTTGTTTTTTTTAAATGACAGCTGTATGTAACATAACCTGCCTTAATTAAATTTTAGCCTGCTTTTTCTATGTGTGCGTGGTTTGTATGCTTCTGTTTTGTTGAAAAACTGTTTTATAGAAATGTTTTAAACCTTGCCGTTTGAAAATTTATTTTGAGTTGAGGGTGTTGATAGTGTTGCAGTAATCTGTACACAATACTGTTGTCGTCTTTGTTTGGTAAATAGATATGTTCGAAACTAATATCTATTTATGTCACAGTTTGCTTGCGGATAGATACATTATATTTTGTTCTGCATAGATATTTCTATACACTTTATAAAACCATATGCTATTAGGGTAACACGTGTTGTTTGAATTGCATGTTTATGATAATCTCAATTTCTGTCTCGCAAATTTTTCGTCACAGTTTGACGCAAGTGATTAGACGATTCGCCAAACAGTTGGATGAATGGCTACAAACGGCGCTAGACTCCTTACCACACGGTGTTCAAAAAATCAAATTCGATTGTGAGTAAAGTCCTGTTCCATAGAAAGTTTGTACAAATGATTTCCATTCACATTAGAAGACCAATAACTACCAACTAGCATGTTACCGTGTATTTGAGACTGTATTTTAATTTCTTTTTCATGTAGTGTTACAAACAAGTTTTTCTATATCAAAAGTAAATATGCTACTTTTCAATTTCAAAATCATTCCACATTATTTTTCTTTGAACTAACAACTTTTCAGCAAAAAATCCGCGACGTGCATAATCCTGGATTTAAAACGCATTGGATAGTCTATCCCAAACTTAATCCTGTTTGTGGTCATTGAAAAAGGAATAATACTCGCAGCATGTTCCCTTTTCTGTGACCTTTCTTAAATTTAGGAAAAACTTTTAAATAAAAATGAGGCATACATGTTGACAAAATTACAGATTAGTTCACCTATTATGTACTGTTGTTATATAATGGTCACAGGAGAGCGACACAATTACCGAAGTTTTTCGATTTGGCAACACGTGCAGAATCTGTATTTCTGATTATGATCACAATGTCGACATAAGGACCCAAGGCAGAGAAGTCAATTCAAGTTTCTTAATCAGGAAACATACTGTTATAAATGTTGATAAGTGATAAACTCAGCTGTTTTCTCCGCTGATGAGAGAATATAGTTTTAGTGTTCACAATATAACTATGTTTATCCAGCAACACTGACAATGGTTGGTCCACTACCAAGCTAGTCTATTTGATTCAGAATGACCGCAGTAATAAGGCCGTTGTACACTCCTATTCACTTTGCTGGTAACGAATGTATTCAGTTTAACAAGACTCGACTATCTTATGAAAATGACTACATTGTGTTGATATCAGGCTGTAATGCAATTTTACGTATCATAGACAAAACTATATAGCTATTCATCGCGCATTTATTCGTTTCTGTCGAGACCCCAACTAACATGCTAATTTGCATTTGTCGACATTCGGAATCACCACTTACTTGCATAAGTGAAAACCCGGAATAATTCATTAACTTTGACATGTACATTTGGTCGAATCACTGAATCTTCCATTAGTTAATCAAAGCACAAAATCAACACTTAAATTGCGTATAAGACAACTCCCCGATTCACTCATAAATATCTCCAGCTAAGACTGTTTGCCCAATAATATTCATCATTTAACACACTGAATAACCCTTTAACTTGAAGAGGTCAAAACCCGAATCACATATTAGCTTGGTGGCATAGCAACCGTGAGTTACACAACGACGTGATGAGGCTGGAGCCTTCAGTCACACCAGAACTTTTCACAACAAACATACGTACATGTATATGTGTATGTGTGCGTGTTTGGTAAAATATACAACCACAGCTGTAGTCCTTGTTCTGGCCCGGGTTTAAACAGACAACTGTTTATCGTATTTATCAATATACGGGTATGTCTTTGTCGGTAGGGATTGGCCCGACCACTCAGACTACTCATAAATCGCATAGGTAACCATGTAAATAAAAATGAATGTATATTACTATCATTGACAAATATTGAATATCAAAATTAACAATATTGATTAAACTCATCACCAGCACTTGACACAAAAGTGAAAGGGGAAGAGAATGAAAAAGTATGTACTGTTAGAGAGTAAGAATGTGGTTTATTACTGTTAGTGAGAAAGAGATTTGAATGAAGTATACGAGTTAAGAGTGGATAATTGATGTAATTAAATAAGAATCGCATAGCTTGGAAAGTCAATCATGAAACAAAAACAAAACAAATACAACGCAATAATAGAAATATATACTATATGTATATATATCAAAAGTACGATGATGGAATGGCTCGGTGCTAAGCACCAAATATTTCAGAAAGAAAAATAAGAATTGAATATGTTGATATGCATGCTAAATAACAATCGCACGTATACTCACTTACTAATTTTTCCAAGGAAGCTTCATTTATATACATGTGTATATGTAGATAAAATAATGTAAAAGTCACAATCTACTAGAAGTATTAATAAACGTGTTATGCTTTCTACAAAACAACCATATGCTTGGCAAATTGTGCCAATACTGAGTACTGAAAAAAACCCACCAGCTGTAGTCCGTTTTCTGATCTGGTTTAAACAGACAACTGTATATCGTATATTTTTATAAAATCTTTGCAAACTTCATGGAACTGAATTTGTATTGAACTGTATGATGTATTTGCATTCGTTAATATGTCAAAACAGTTCAGTTACTGTAGCATTCGATCATATATCATTGAATTTTGTAGTAGCGAGGCGGTTTGCACAAGTGTTGCGTCGTCAGACGTCCTTGAACCACTTGTGTCAAGCGGCCAGGACCGTTATACACAGTGCAGAAATCACGTCACAGATGCTGGATGATTGGCTCAACGTTGATCTTAACAGTATCATCAAACAGACATTGTACACCATGGATAACTACAGTGAAAAGGAACACCAGATTATCGTTAATTGTACGTATCTACCTAAACTGGCAACCAGCCCCTAAGTTTTTATGAAGAATTTTTCGACTGCATTTTACTACTACATTGTAGCTTATCTCCCCCTATTTTAGAACTCGGACATCCTAGTGATCAAAATTATTAGAGTTAAATTGTTTTCTTAATTATTTAATATTCTAGAGACGGTAGCCAGTCTAGTATTTACCAAAACTAGGGACTAGATTTTAAGCAAAACCAGCGGAAATATCAGATTTCCGTTTTGCTAGTGAAATTACACATTTCATTAGGGTAGAGTGCGTGGTCTATCATGGAGAGTTTTCTTTCACAGACGAGATTTAAGGTAGACCAATACATTTAAATTACAAATTACGTTATCTTTGTTATAAAATGTTGGAGATATATAGTATTAAGTGAAAAAATCGCATTATTTTTTCATTAACATGCATTTAAGGATGTACACCTCTGAGAAGTCAAAAATTTCCTGTATTAAACTTTTTTTCTTATATGGATTTTTGGAAAAAAGAGTTATTGGCATAGTAGAAAATGCAAAAAAAAAATATGTCGGTGTGTTCGTTTTTGTGCTATGATCGGTCAAAGATACCAATTTAACACAACATGTGATTTTAGGTGATTGTTTTGGTTTTGACCATTTGCGGAACAAATTCATACAATTTCTTTCAAGTGTGTTATCAGATATGTATGAATGTTTGTAGAATTGATAAAAATATTATTTTCTTTTACATTTTGGAAGTAAAATTTCTTAATCTTATTCTTTTAACTCAGAAAGTCGATTTTAGTTACCCCTACACCCTATTTTTTAATGAAAAAATACTCATTTTTTTACCATTTTTTGCAGATTAAACGCTTGATATAAAAAGTTCTGGTATTAAACTTTTTTTAATATTTAATGAATTAAAAGAAAATGTGTTTCTCTTTCTAAAACATCCATAAAAATGGGGGGTCGGTGTGCTTCTTTTTTTGTGCCATTATCATTTGTGTTATTTTTTACCTTTTTCGGGGTCAAAAATCAAAAGTGCTTCAATTACACTAAATATGTAAAAAAAATAATGCATAATTTTCCAGTTTGTTGCATATTATTTTTATCATATTAAACATTATTAAGTTGTACAGCAAAATTGAACCTGCTATAAATAAAAATGGCGACACCATGACAACTTAAGTGATCAATCTAGTGTCAAAAAAGGTGAATCTTTTGCCTTTTTTGAAGCCCAAGAAATACACATTAATACTCATTTTCAAAATGGCCGCCGAATTGGTATTTTTTTTAAATTCTTGTAAAAAAAGTTCTACAAACAACAGACATCTAGTTTTTTGACATATTTTTCAGATGCGTGTTTGCTAATAAACTTGATCATAATTTGTGAAATATTACAAAAACCCGTTACACCAGATCAAAACGAGACTTGAACGTGATTGAAACCTCAGAAGAGTACAACCTTAAAGGGAGAGACAAGGCGGTGTTCTTCTCTTGATACAACCATGCTTTGATGTGTTCTTCCTCTGAACATTCATTGAATGGATAAATTGATGATTTGGTAGTCAATTTCGGGCTGTCAACTCATATATATATCCTTTTTACGAATTTTCATACAGTTTGTAAGCTTAGCACAAAATACCGTTATGTTTTGCTATAATATTTTTTCTACTTCTTGGAAAAACATATTCAGATATATACACAAAAATAAAGAATAATCAGACCATTATGGCTAGTTATTCGTAAACGATACTCATATCGGCGGAGAATATTGTAAAAGTATATTTTTTTGCGGTTTGGATATGTTCGCGTTTTTCGCGTCGAGTAAATTATTGCGAAAAGTGCCACACGTGAAAATATATGTTTCGAGATTTTATAGTTTATTAATGAAGAGAATAGATAGATTTCATGTGTTCGCACCGCGATCAGTTTAAATAGTCAAAACGTGAACATTTCTACACGCAAAAAAAATCTACTTTTACAGTGTATTAATTTTGTTGAACGATATTTAATTAAAGTAAGAATTCAGAGACACTTTATCGTTGACATGATTCCAGTATGTACAGAGTACGAGAAGTTGATGGAGGAACAGGCGCCTTTGGAGTCGTTTGTTGAATGGTTGGATAATATGGTTGATCGTTGTGTAGTCAAGGTAAACATACTCACTTATCACATTCATACATTCAATTTTTATCAGTTAATGGTCTGTTTTTGAGGTGGATATGCTGTTTTATGTATATTAACCAACCACCACTGATAACAAGTACTGTATGTGTATAAACATGCCATGCCTTTCTAACGTATAATAACATATTAGTGATAGTTTAACGTTATATATTTGCATATGATATGTGAAAGTGCACAAATACAAATGTTCTATTTAGTTAATACAGCGTAGAATATACTCAAAATTAGATTTGATTAATTGCAGAATATGTATCGCATATAAAATAAGGTTTGCTATTTAAAAGTACGTAAATGACTTCAGATCATGTCCATGTTACGTATACGAGTGCTTGAGTTTTATCGCATACTAATGTGACAGTGTCTTTGAAGTACCTCCAAACACTCCAACCAAACACTATAATACTAATTGAAGTAAAAAGACTATAGTAATTGAAATAATATTCATATATATTTTATGGATATCTGATTATGTATGCACACAGCCCAGCCGTAGGAAGCCGGGATCCCTCAGACAGATCGCCCGCCAGTTCCTGTTGATGTGGTCCTGTTTCGGTACTAGAGTCATACGTGATATGACTCTCCACAGTGCTCCTAGCTTTGGTATGCGTCTCCTGTATTTAGTCTTCTTTTTGTAACTCTTGTTCTTTTCTGGAAAAACTTGGTTGCGGAAAAATAATTCCGGGAATTTTGAGTTCATCTTGTTGCATCTAAGATTTTTACTTTCTTTTCGGTTTTTGATAATAATGAAAATATAAATAATAATAATAATATACAACATTTGATATAGCGCCCTTTCTAGCTAACATAAGACACTCTAAAGCGCTTTACAGTACATAGATATACAATTAATAAAATTAGGATATACATTTTTTGAGGAATTCGCAGGAGCTGCCTTATCATGCGCTAACTTCTAGTCATGTGACACCTGGCTAATATCTCCCTATGTGTGTATGCCTGCGTGTGTGCTGGAGATGTATTGTGTTCTGTTTGTAGTGGGACCGTGCTTCCAACGGCATCTTTTATAGTGCCATCTCACTTGAATGCTACATTACAGATACCGCAACCAAATTATACTCCACCCGGGTTGTTTGGGCAGGAGAAAAATACTTACTCTGATATTCCATACGTGCGACGACTTCGGGGATCGAACCCGGCCGCCTGCGTGGAAGGCCAAAGTGTTAACCACTCAACCAATCCGCCCATATAACCGATACACGGTTTATCTTAACGTGCCATTCAGCGTTATATGATCATTGTTACAACCAAGTCTAGTAATGCTGATGGCATAACTAACGGAACTCGATTGTGCAAGATTTCGTACATATTTATTCCAGATACAGCACGGTAAATTTAAATATCAAAGCTTTGCTTCATTCACAAACAATGAACGTATTAAACGTGTCGCAACGGTTCAAGACCGACCGGCCCTTTTGTAAGCTATAAAGTAAATCTTTGATATGAAATAATTCCAAACTGATGAATCTTATTGAAGGTAAATTTGGATTGCTATAGATTAGAATATGTAATCTTTCTTTCATTGTATTTATACTTTTCTTTGAAAAAGCTCTACTGATACACAAGTATCCACCTTCAATTACTGTACCATACACACCACCGACCTACACAGTGATCACGACGTGAAGTGTCATGTATTGTATATACGATATTAATTATTTATGCTTTGTTTTGTAGGGTCATTTCATCTCATGCATCTTATGTTCGACGATTACGTCCTGTATCTCGTGGAGAACCTACACAGCCAGGAAAGGGCTAACGACTATCTGAAAATTATCAAAGGGGAGGCGTCACCAGGTAAGATCGTACCATGACAATATATGCTGAATACATAATTCCTTAGTATATCTCGTTTGCATCTTCGGCTTTGATGAGACTTGCAAATCATTACTTAATATCGGGTTGAAATCTTCTGTTCATCCCTGAAACAAAATAGCTGATCACAATTACAGCCGCGAAGACATATGTAAGTAGAAGCTGGTCTTTATTTAGTTTGTCACACATTTATGTTTCGATCTAATTAAGTAAGTTATAGTTCCATGAGTGTGGAAAAATAGATTAATAATATAAAAAAATTACAAAGATATATCTTTTTCTAATCACTTAAGTGATAAAAAGATATGTTCTGTCGTCATTTTTCTTATTTAATATTCCCCACCTCTTCTGTTCATCTATCCCGACCCATCCTCGTGAGTACTAATACACACTATGTTTCATTACACATTACAGAAATGTTTAAAATCAGTATGTTCCTAAAGCTCAGATTGTGTAGTTTGAGGCAGCTCCGAAATATTCTCTTGTTGACGAAATGAGCCGATTGTAGCGAGTTTAGATAATTTCAAATCACTATATTAATTTCTTGACATGCATGTATATGCATACAAAACCGACAGCCAAGCTAAGTGATTAAGGTGACTGATACAAAATCTTTACTACTGCAATTGTGTGACCGTGTAGCCATTTGTGTGAGCGATTTGTATCTGTTGATTCTCGATTTGTATCTGTTGATTCTCGATTTGTATCTGTTGATTCTGAGTGTTTACTGTCAAGAGCATGGTTGATACATTGTACATTGTACCTGAAGATGCTGACGACTCAACTGAAACAGACAAGTGTGGCACCATCCTACTTACCAGATAATGTCTTGTGTAGGAAAATACACTTTGGTATGGCATGTTGATAGTTATTAACAAACAGGTATTTTTAATGTTAAAATATAATTCCTTCCAAATCATTTTGCAATTTTCTTATTACATCGATATACAATATTGAACGAAATATCGTTTATCATTTCTACGTAGATTTCGTGGATGAAATCATTTTGCCAGACTCCAGCATCATCAAGGACAGTATCCTTCCCGGGGGTAGGTCTGCATTCACGCCAACATTTCCCGGGGGTCACGCGGATGCCCGGGACTCTGTCATCACAAACACGAGGGACATCATGAGTACGTATCCGGGGAATATCTTTACGTAGAATTATTACATACTTACTGATAAATACGGGTTTTTTGTATATGCGATACGACACAATTTCTCTAACCCATATCAGCCCTCGCCGTATCACACCCCAAAACCCGTATCAGCCCCCGCCGTATCACACCCCAAAACCCGTATCAGCCCGCAAAACCCGTATCACACCCCTTTTGGATTTTTTTTCGTTTTTCAATATTTCAAAAAGAAAATTAAATCATAAGATAGTAGTTTTTATTAGTAAATATGTAATAAACAGAATAAAACACGCCTTTTTCCATATCACACCCAGTATCAACACTCGAACAATATCAGCCCTCGTGCCTTCGGCCCTTGGGCTGATATTGCAGTCTCGGGTTGATACTGGGTGTGATATGGAAAAAGGCGTGTTTTATTCTCTATATATCGTTGATATCTTATTGACTTTTACGTATCAGCTTGGACTTGATCATAAGGAGCTAAGGAGACTGAAATGATATTCATTTGATTATGTTTTTTTCGCATTTACAGATTGTCACAATAGACCGAGCTTGGCGGATTCACATACAGCGGTAAGCTGTGAGACACCGTCTAATGATTTTGATCGCCCGCCTGACTTAGGCCTACAGACGGGATTCTCATTACAGTAAGTCCTTATGAAATTCATACACATTAGATTCTTTTTTTTTCAGTTTCAGTTGGAAAAAATAAACTTGGTTCACATTACAGTAGGTAAATACAAAACTGAGTGACATTTCAGGAGGTAAACAGAAACTTGATTCACATTGTATATTTAGAATGGATTCACATAGGTTAAACAGAAAGTTATTGAAAATTAAAGAATGTTGGAGTAAATATGAACTTGTTTCAAATGGTAAAACTATATATTTATCCACAATCAATTTTGCTGATATTCAGTGGATTATTACAAAATCCTCGTATAATCTTGGTACGATATATTTAATAATAATTATGATGCGTCAACTAAAGAAATGTTAAACTCCTCCCTCATGAATTATTTATGAAAAACATAAAACTCATTTCTAAAATCATTTGTAATATGATTTTGATGTATAATCCTAAACTATTCCGTTATTTTTTTCCACAGGAATAGCAGTGCTCAATGTAACACATACGTCCCACCGTTCATACATCAGTCCATAACTAACACAGCCATACACCCAGCTCAGGAGGACGTCACTAACTTTGGGTTCAACCCACGACACATCCAAGTATATAAGAGTTATATAATATGTATATTTTCCGTGGTATTTTCGCAAAAATTTACGCTAACGATCAATATTGGCGTGTCAGTACAGGGTAGAATTGGACTCAATCCGTAAAGAGCTAATTTCCTACCAGTTTAGGTATTATTCCTGTATAACTTGCCGAAAGTGTCTGCTACATCATAATTATAACACAGTTACACCTTTTCTGATGATTTGTGTTCATTTTTTTAATCTTCTATAAGATAAACCTATAACTTCTGCTTAATTTAGAAGTGTGTCGGTGCTGAAATGAAAATGTCAACCTCCTTGAAATTACGAGATCTTACCGATATTTTTGGAGTAAAATTCCTCAGGTTTGGTTTATCTTTAAGGTCCTTATTTTTATTTAAATTTCCGCTTCTACAACACGTGTTCATATTTCCAACAAACCAATATTGAATTTGATATTTTCACAAATCTACTTGATCATTTACATTCATTTTAAGTGCTGTAAAAGCAGTACGTTGATCCTTTTGAACATTTCTTCTTTACAAAAGTTGTTTTTAAACACGAATTAGATCATTTACTTATTTGCAGGTGTCCATTCCCTCTCTGCATGCAAGTCAAAGCCAGGGTCTGACCCCCGTGTCCACCTGTGATGGTCAGCGGTTCACCAACACAATGGACTGGAATGCTCAGATAACCCACATCGCACAGATCGACATTCCGCGCATGTATGTACATAATGTGAAAAAGGACACGCTTATAATCTAGACGATAATGATATATCAGTTCTAGTTACCAATAAGCTCTCTTTTATAGCATTATTGACTTCTCCACATCTACTTTAGTTTAATTATACTTTAGCAACTTCTCCTTTGAGTTATGACACAGTTTACGATTAGCCCGAGTTTCCTCTGTCCCAGACTTAAGACATTCTGTCAAAATGTCCTATTCTGGTGTCTGGGCCAGAGGAAACTCGGGCTAGGTTTACGATCTTCATGTACATACTTTACTCATTATTAATTTCAACTGACTAGCACTACTCTAGATCTCCTTAAAATTCTTACAATTCAAGTCTTTTACGCACCTTTCCTTCCGTTTCAACAGTGGTTTGGATTTTTACTCTTTTGTCCCCCAGCATCACCAACAAGTCATATGACAAAACAGCAATATTGTGCTTTACGATTATTTTCCTTCGTTTGCATTCTATACCCATAACCATTTATGAGGTGTTCACCTGTGTTTTGTCTTGCGATTGATGACTTTTATAACCATTTCCGGTTTGATCGTAAGTCAACTTTTGTCCACAGATCTGACCAGACAACCATCCCTCAGCAGCCACAGACACGACCTCACACAGACCATCAGTCATACCTGTACTATGACAACACACAGAACAGCACCAGGAGTTATCCCCCTTTCTCAAATGACATTCAGTTCTCTGCTCCAGGGGGTTTGCATGTTGAGAATTCCGGAATGATGAATTCTTCGGGGAAACGACCAATCGAAGATCATGTTACAAAGTCATATAAAAGACAGACCAGAGATCCCTTTTCCCTGCAACCTCAGCTGGAGGAAGGGTTCATCTGAAGGATAAATAACGACCACAAGAACATTTATCTAATTCAGATCTATTCATATTAATAAAGATATTTTAAATTTGTGAATTCAAAAGATTTGAGGCGCTTTTTCCTTTTGCAGTTGAGTCTGAGAATAATTTTTATTGAGTTACAATAAGTTAATGACACATTAGGTCAAGTGTTCAATTTATTTTTATTTGAGTGCTTGAAGATAGACATGTGTGTGTAATTTTACGTGGCAAACATACATGTCGAACCCAGAAACTGCACATTGAAGTGGGAACTTCAACTGAGGAATCAATAATCAAACACTTTACAGAAACTATATCCAACAATTTTCAAAATGCAATGAGAATGGATTAAATTCAGAATTATTATAATTTGCCATAGTGCAATGTAATTAAATCACTGGACTTGTCAACTTATTGTAACTAAATTGCCAAGGAGCAATGCGATTAAATTAGTTAATTTGTATACTTATTGTAACTTAATTACCAAGCAGCAACCTAATTAAAGCACTTGTTATTGGTAACGTTCGGGCGGTCAACCATCCAACTACTGACCACGCTTGATGTTGCTGAACTAATGAGCGGGTCCCTGGGTTATACACATCACTGGAAAAGCTAGCTTGCCAGTAAGGCAGTATTTTCCCCTCGTGAACCTTAGCTGTTACACTATTCCCCCCTCCGAGAAGTCTCGTTCTGAGACTTGGCCTGGGGAATCCTGTAGGTCCTCTCTGTGTATCAATGCACCTTCCCTAACCACCAGGAACTGGCCTTACATGATCACATAATCCCACCGCTGCCACCAAATGCAACGTGCGGGCAGTCACCCATCCAACTACTGACCACTCTCTACGTTGCTGAACTAGTGAGTGAGTCCCAGGGTTATACCGCATCATTGGAAAAGCTAGCTTGCCAGTAAGGCAGTATTTTCCCCTCATATACCTTACCTGTTACAACTGTCACCACGGAGCAATTTAATTCAAGCTCTGGACTTATAAACTTGTTGTAACTGAGTTGACGTGAAGCAATGTAATTTACGCACTTGACTTGTGGACCAATTGTAACTATATTGCACTGGGCATGTTAACTTATTGAAACTTTGAATAGTTAAAGATTTAATAAAACTAAGCACTGGAAATGTAACTTTTATGCAACTAACTTGCCAAATAGCAATGCAAATAAAGCACCTGTCTCGTAAACTTATTGTAACTTATTTGAAATAGTGTAATGTAGTTAAATGACTCGATTAGGAGACTTAGTGTTACTAAATTGTCGTGTATTTATCTGACTTGTACATGCAAACAGTAAAACTTATTGTAACCAAATAACAAAAGGGCAATGTATCTAAATCACTTATAAACTTAATGTAACTAAGCTTCCAAGGAGCAATGAAAATAAAGAGCTGTATTTGTAAACTTATTGTTACTGACATGCCTAGGATAATTACTGACATGCCTAGGAGAGTTACTGACACGCCTAGGAGAGTTACTGACATGCCTAGGAGAGTTACTGACATGCCTAGGAGAGAGTTACTGACATGCCTTGGAGAGTTACTGACATGCCTAGGAGATAGTTACTGACATGCCTAGGAGAGTTACTGACACGCCTAGGAGAGATACTGACATGCCTAGGAGAGTTACTGACATGCCTAGGAGA